GCATTTAGGCTCATTTCATGTTTTAGCTATTGTGAAAAATGCTCCTTTAAACACAAGGGTGCTGGGAGCTGGAGAGATAGCCCAGCGGGTAAGGAATTTGCCTTGCACGCGGCCAACCCAGGTTCGATTCCCAACATCCCATATGGTCCCCTGAGCACCCCCAGGAGTAACTCCTGAGTGCAGAGCCAGTAGTAACCCCTGTGCATTGCAGGGTATGACCCAAAAAGCAAAAATAATAATAATAATAATAATAATAATAATAATAATAATAAATAAACACAAGGGTGCCAGTATCCTTTTGAATTTATGTTTTCATGCCATTTGGATAAACACCCAGGAGTGGTATTGTAGTACCATGTGAATTTCCACTTTCACTTTTCTAAGGAATCTCCGTACCTTTTTTCATATAGGCTCCACCAATTTACATCCTCATTGAGAGTGTACCGGGATTTCTTTTACTCTACATCCTCACAAACACCTGTGTTTCCAACTTTTTGAAACAGTTCTCACAAGTGAGGTAATATCTCACTGTGTTGTGATTTGTATTTCCCTGACAAGTATTAATAATTTACTCCTGATGATGAAATGAACAGAAACTTTCTCAAAGAAAAAAGTTGAATGGCTAAAAGGCACATGAGAAAATGCTCTACATCACTAATCACCAGGGAGATGCAGTTTAAAACAACAATGAGATACCATCTCACACCTCAGAGACTGGAACACATTCAAAAGAACAAAACCAACCGTTATTGGCATGGATGTGGCAAGAAAGGGACCCTCCTTCACTGCTGGTGGGAATGCGGACTGGTTCAGCCCTTTTGGAAAACAGTATGGACAATTCTCAAAAAATTAGAAACTGAGCTCCCATTTGACCCAGCAATACCACTACTGGGAATATATCCCGGAGAGGCAAAAAAGTACAGTCGAAATGACATCTACACTTCTATGTTCATTGCTGCACTGTTCACAATAGCCAAAATCTGGAAAAAACCCGAGTTCCCAAGAATAGATAACTGGTTAGAGAAACTTTGGTACATCTACACTGTGGAGTACTATGCAGCTGTTAGAAAAGGTGAAGTCATGAAATTTACATACAAGTGGTACTACATGGAAAGTATCATGCTACGTGAAATGAGTCAGAAAAAGAGGGACAGACATAGAAAGATTGCATTCATCTGCGGAATATAAAGTAACAAAATAGGAGACTAACACCCAAGAATAGTCAAGATAAGTACCAGGAAGTTCGCTCCATGGCTTGAAGGCCAGCTGCACATGCTAAGGGAAAAGACAGCTCAGACAGAGAAGGAAGCACCAAGTAAAGGATGTTGGGAGGATCCTTCCAGGATAGAAGATGCATGCTGAAAGTAGACTACAGATCGAACATGACTGCCACTCATTGCCTCTTTTGCAAACCACAGCACCCAAAAGGAGAGAGAGAGAACAAAAGGGAATGCCCTGCCACAGAGGTGGGGTGGGGTGGGGTGGGGGGATGGGGGAGTGGGAGGGATACTGGGATCATTGGTAGTGGAGAATGGGCACTGGTGGAAGGATGGGTACTTGATCATTGTATAACTGAAACCTAAGCACAAAAATTTGTACAGTCTACAACTGTACCTCATGGTGGTTCACTAATAAAAATTTAAAAATAAATAAAAAGTAATCAGAATTTTAAAAAAAAATTATTCCTGAGGCCAGAGTGATGGTACAGTGGGTATGGTTCTCTGAGCCTGCCAGGAATGATGCCTGCGTGCTACTCCCCCCCAAAAAAAAAAATCCTGTGTCTCTGGGTCATCCACATGGAGGAATTCCAGTCTTTTTCCCTTTCTATTGTGTTGGGGGGTTTTTGTCGTTTTTGTTTTGCTTCGTTTCAGTTAAACTGATGGGTAGATATTAGCTCAACCAAAAGCACTAGTAATTAGAACCGTGGTACTGGGACAAAGACAGGCACATAGACCAGAGTAATAGGATAGAGTGAGAAAGAGTCCAGCAGTAAGTCCATATCCATATAAACAGTGTTTCTACAATAAAGGAGTCAGGATCACACAGTGGAGAAAGGATAGCCACTTTCAAGGTAAGCCCTTAACCTTACTAGGCACTATCTCTCCAGCTCTTGTTTCATTTGTCTATTCAAAATATTGGCTTCTGCCGGGGCTAGAGTGATAGCACAGAGGGTAGGGCCTTTGCCTTACACCCGGCCTGACTCGGGTTCGATTTCCAGCATCTCATATGGTTCACCGAGCACAGTCAGGAGTAATTCCTGAGTGCATGAACCAGGAGTAACCCCTGTGCATAGCTGGGTGTGACCCATAAAGCCAAAAAAAAAAAAAAATTGGCCTCTGTCAAGTAAATGCACCACTTGCAAAAATATATCTTCTCCAAGTTACTATGCCATTTTAGTTTCATGGTACTTTCTATTTTTATTTGGCAAAAGAGGGGGCAACAAGACACCTGTCAAGGGCTCAGGGGTTACTCCTGGCTCTGCACTCAGGAATCACTCCTGGCAATGCTCAGGGGATCAGATGGGATGCCTGCAATTGAACCACGCAAGGCAAGTGCCCTACCAACTGTACTACTCTCTAGTTTCATGACACTTTAATTTGCATTTTTTAACTGTTTCTGTTCCCTTGTCATTGGAATTGGGTCTCCAAATACATCTCTGGTATTGAGGTTCTAGAATATATTACCTATGTTTTCTTCTATATATTTTACAGCATAGAGTCTAATAATAAGTGCAATGCTCTTTGAGTTAATTTTTGTATGTGGTGTTAGTGGATCATTTAATTTTTATTTTGTTGGGAACATTTTTGTTTTGTGTTTTGGCCACACTAGCAGTGCTTAGGGACTTCCTAGCTCTGTGCTCAGGGCTGTTCCCTGGCAGTACTTGAGGGACTAATAGGTGCTGCCTGGGAATTGAATCAAACTGAAAAGAGTTCAAGGTAAGCCCTTAACCTTACTAGGCACTATCTCTCCAGCTCTTGTTTCATTTGTCTAGATGTAGCTATACAAATTTCCAAACACTATTCCTTAAAGTGGCTATCCTTTCTCCACTGTGTGATCCTGACTCCTTTATTGTAGAAACACTGTTTATATAGGTATGGACTTACTGCTGGACTGCTGGACTCTTTCTCACTCTATCCTATTACTCTGGTCTATGTGCCTGTCTTTGTTCCAGTACCACAGTTTTAATTACTAGTGCTTTGGGTTGAGCTAATATCTACCCATCGGTTTAGGATTGTATAAACTGTGATTTTTTTATTACAAAAAAAACTATGCAATCGTTTAAAATGATGGGAGGGGGGAGCAGAGAGATAGTACAGGATGTTAGGTAGTTGTCTTGCATATGGCTATGGAGGCAATGACCCCGGTTCCGGAGTTCAAATACCCAGCACCACATATAGGAACCTAAGTACCACCAAATGTCACTCCTGAGCACAGAGCTAGCCAAGAATAACCCCTGAGCACATCTTTAAATGCCTCTACCTGCAAACTAAGATGTCCTGTACATTTTTTAGAATTTTTAATTTCATTAACAAAGAAAATGCCAAACTTATTTAAAATGTATTAAAAGGTATTCATCATTTTTCTTCAAAGAAAAGCATGTATTGGGGCACATGCATACAATTTACCAATAGCAGGATACTTTTTTAAAAAATATAGCAGCCTGGGGCTGGAGTAATAGCACAGCGGGTAGGGCGTTTGCCTTGCCCGTGGCCAACCCGGGTTTGATTCCTAGCATCCCATATGGTCCCCCAACCACTGCCAGAAGTGATTCCTGAGTGCAAAGCCAGGAGTAACCCCTGAGCATCGCCAGGTGTGACCCAAAAAGAAAAAAAAAAAATATATATATATATATATATAGCAGCCATCTAAATTCAGCCAATGATCTAACTACGAGAGTCTGTTTATTTACACCGTTTATTTACACCGTAAATGATAAAAATCTATTCATTGTTTAAAATCCACAATATTCAGATCACAAATAACCTACTAAGCAACAAGTGTCCAGGAAGCAACGGGGAACAAAACAAGTTACCATCCTAGCCTTCATGAAGTTTGCAATCTCTTCTGGAAAACTGTATCTGAATGGGAAAGGACAAGAGAAAAATAGTAGGTTCACACAAATGCAACGCAAAGAAAAACATTTGGGAAACTACGACGACACACGCAAGACTTTCCAATTCCAGAGCACTGCCTAATTTCAAATGCAACAACTTATCCTCTCTCAACTGTCTCTCAACTGCTCCTGCCAATGAAAACACTGCTAAAGAAAACTAACTCCATTTTAAGAGTACACCTCACCTTCAGCCTATACCTACGGTACCGACTCCTGGATTCCTTGTCTCCTCGATTCCCCAAGTACTGCTTTCACGACAAGCAAAGAAAAAAGCAAACTGTGATATACATTAGGCGAAATTGAGCCCAACGGATGCATTGGGAAACGTGGACCGGAGCTACACAGACGTTTCAATGGGTCCTTAAAGATTTGTCAAAGGGCAGTACTGCGTCGCCTGGAGGGGAAGCAAAAACTTTCTAGGCCCTTCCAAAGTGACCCTCAAAGGTAACACACAGGGTCTTCCATCCGGGGCAGTCACCTGAAACTTGAGGTCCTGGGGTCGAGGGCGCCCCAGCCTGATCCCGAAGCCCTCGATGCCCCGCCCCTGTGGTCACGCCCCCCCCATTCCGACCTGAGGCCTGGCTGCCCACCGCGGCCCCACAGCCCCAGGGAGAGTTGGACAAAAACAAAGACCCGGAAGCAGCCGGACTCCTGCCCCCAGACGTGACCTTGGACCAACGTCTCCTCCTCAGTTTTCTCATCCCTGAGATGAGTCTGCTACTGCGTACTCAACTTCACCACCACCCCCACCCCCACCCCAGCCCTGCATAGGCCATTAGAAGGGTCTCCAGACTTGGGGAAATGGGCCCCCTAGTCCCCCGGTCTGCTCGCCACGGCCCCGCGCTGGCCCTCGCCTGCGCCCGCACTCCGCAGCCACGCGCGCTACCTGCGATCTGGGAGACGAAGGCTTCCGCCACCAGAGACATCGCGGCTGGGGCGGCCGAGCGTCCGCGCGACGCTCTCCCGCTGCGGCTCGGGTCTTCCTCGGCAACTCGGCGCTCCCGGGTTCCTCACCGGCTCGGCCTCGGCGGACACCCGGCCTGGCAAAGGCCACCCGGGCGGCGTGGCGCTGAGGACCCCAAGGTTACCGCCAGGCCCGGCCGGGAACTTCCGGCGCGGCTGACAGTGGCGCACGAGTTCTTCCGCCGGCCACGCCCCGGACACGCCCAGGCTCCTCCCAGTCCCCGCCTCCTCCGGCCCCGCGCGCGCCTCCTGGGCCAGGAGCTCCGCCCGCTGTTTCTCGGAGGCTGGCGGGGAGACGCCCAGGTTCCCGCCTCCCCGCTGCTGTTTGCAAGTTGAGGGGAGTAGGGAGTGGGGGTGGGGATGGGCATGTAAGTGCATCACCATCTGTGTTTTGAATCCTTTCTCCAATCAAGGCCTTGATCTTTAAGTAACATTTTTCCAGCCCATGCAGGCCCTTTTCCAGATTTTACCGCCTTCACTTTAAAACAGCATCCTCTTGAACTTGATGAAGGTGACATTGTTCTCGCCGTTTTATGCAGTTTAAACTGCCTGCTCAGAGTATCTCGCTCAGGCTCAGCTCTGTTCGCCTCAGTGCTAGTTGGATTAGTCCGTAGACAGACATTAGTGTTTATTTACAGACGTTAGTATTTATTTACAGACATTAGTGTTTATTCCTTTATTAGAACGTGCTCGCCCCAAGAGGTGGAGACTTGATCACTGCCTAAGATGGGAGAGATTTTGCCCTTCAGTTCTACACAATGCAATGAAGCTCATCTTGGAGAATAAGGTACTTTAGTTCCACACAATTCTCCCCATTTCTGGGTGGGAGGAACTGAGAAAGGAGGCACTGAAACCTATTATTAACTTTTTAACCACTTACCTATGTAACTTTTTAAATTTCCCATGCAGCTTAAGAAAAATCAAAATAAGAGACTTGGAGGCATATAAAAATGTATCAGTGAAACCCACTTCAGAGACTTTCTGGGAAGCCCAAGCCCACTTTGACTAATGAGAAACAGGTTAGGAGAGGTGATACAACTGGTTGGATCACCAAGTAAACACCAAATTTTTGCAAAGAAAGTCTCCCATTCTGAGAACTACAGTCCATGATGTTTTAAAGTCTAGGTCTGTGTGCTTCCATAACTCTCCAAACTTCCATTACAGTTCATTCAGGTTACTGCCTTTTCAACTATTGTATTGGTTTAAGTTTGCCACAAATTATGCACCTTAAAACAGCAGTAAGGGACTGATCATTGTTGAGCCCTGACCCAACCCCACCCCACCCTCCAAAAAAAAACATCAGCAGTAATGTATTCTCTCATAGTTCTGAGGCTCACAGTCCAGGCTCACTCACAGGCTGGGCTCACTCACAGGCTGCGCTTTCTCTCCAGATGCAAGGGGCTAGAGAGATAATAACAGGAGCTGTGGTACTTACTTGCCTTACACACCTCAGACCAGGTTCAATCCCCATCACCATATATGGTCCCCTGAGCACAAAGCCAAAAGTGACCCCTGAGTGTAGCCAAGAGTGCCAAAAAGGGAAAACAGAAGAAAAAGAAACTTCTTACCTTTGTGTAAGTTTTGGGAAGTTCCAGCATTGCTTCACCTTTCTTGATTTCTAGACACATCACTCAAGACTATTCCTATCATCCAATTTCCCTGGAAATTTTTGTGTTCAGATTACTGTCTTTTTATAAGGATACCATGTATTTGATCAAAGCCACCCTCATCCTAATTTGGGCATCTGCAAAGAGCCTATTTCCAAATAATGTCTTACTCTCAGGTTTCCAAGAATTAGAAACTCAAACAAATATCTTGGGAGGCAAGGTGGAATGAACAAAATTCTACCCACTATGCCAGATCGTAAGATTTTAAAGGTGTTATCAATTGGTATTGCCCTAAGCCAATGGAATATATAACATTTAAATTGATCCCAACATCTCCAAAGACATACAGTGCAGTGTATGTGAAGCGACCTCTCTGGCTAAAATTCAGTTGACAGAGACTCGATTTGCTCGAGCGGGCCCAGTAACGTCTCCATTGGAGACTTTGTTGTTACTGTGTCTGGCATATCGAATACACTCGGTAGCTTGCCGGGCTCTCCGAGAGGGGCGGAGGAATCGAACTCGGGTCGGCCATGTTGGCCGCTTGTAAGGCAAACGCCCTACCCGCTGTGCTATCACTCCAGCCCTGCTATCACTCCAGCCCGACAGAGACTTAGTGGTAGAAATTTAAGGAAGATGTTGGGGGTTTCTTGTTGTTCTGAGGAAGTATGCTATTAAAGAGTATGCTGTGCCCAGTTTCCTCTCCTCCTATGGATGATACTGACCAACAGAATGAACTGTTCCATATGTTTTTGGTGTCAACATAAGCTTGCTTTATCTGTTCCTGTTTCTGCCCCTTAAAAGATTGTGTCTAAGTCATCAAAGTGAAAAGATCTATCATCTGTTTGGGTTCTGTTACCAAGGTTGGTTGGTCAAAATTTGAAAAGTCAAAAGCAGAAGATAAAATGTTTTGACTATTTTATTTATTTATTTATTTATTTATTTTTAATGCATGCTGGATTTTAAGCCATTTGCCTATCATTGAATCAGTGTGGAAATCTGAAGACCAAAGTCTTTAGAGATTACTAAGGATAGAACCAAAAATCAAATAAGCCCCAAAGGTAGAGATAGACCTCAGTGTGAGAGGTGGCAATAGTTAAAGACATATATGCAAAAGAAGCAGCTAGAATAGAGGCCAAAATGATTGTGCCCCTAAACGTTTCCTTTGGCTTTTGCACAGGAAGTGGATGAACTGGGCTGCCTCAAAGGTGCTGGGCTGAAAATTGACACCCACTCTGTTCCAGCAAGTCTTTTTAGAAGAAGACAGGGATCTTCTGTCTTCAACCATTTCTTCATTGTAGGCAGTGAAACAGAATCATCAGCACCATATGGATTCACTTTTGCTCCCTGACTGACGGTTCCTTAGCTTCCCACACAGACTAATTTAGGCTGGAAAGAATCTATAATGTGGGAGGTCTTTATTACTAAAAATTAAATCCAATAAAATGCAGATGTCCTGATGGTGCCCACAAACAAGCTGTCTTTGTAATAAATAGCCAACTGGAGAAAATATATTTATGCATCTGTATAAGAACAACTAGCAGATTTTAAACTGAGGATCTGTTTAAGATCACTACTATTAAGGAAAATACAAGAAAACAAGCCACTGGAATTTTTAAGAATGGGGTTATAAAACAAAAGTGCTAGAGAATCCATATGTTACTAAAAGGATAATCACACAATTATTTGAAATAAAATATTTTAATGCATGCCATTAACAGCCTTATTGTTATACCTAATAAAATCACTTCTTGTGAAACTATTCTGTCATAAGAATGTTTTCATGTCTCAGAAGTGAGGGGAACCAGGTTTGCTAAAGTAACTGCAGTGATAGAAATATATTAACTTCAGATGCTATTGAGGTTTCCTACTCTACCCAGTACAGAGTTAGAAAAAAACATTTTCATGTCTCATCTAAGTTTTAAACTACTATACTAAATAGAAAATATTCAGCTACTTTGATAAACATATACATCATTAAAAATAAAGCCCAAGGTACCTTATTGGAATTTCATTTTTCTGGCAGAATGTTAATAATTGAAATATAAGAGTATTTTTTTAATGCCTACAAGAAGAAAATTGGAAGCTGAGATTCCTTTGAAATCATAGTATTGATTTGACAATAATAACAAATACAGGCCTTTTTGTGACGTTAGCCCTCCTCCCCAACTCCAACAACTGAATTTATTGATTAATCCAACCAATTCAAATAAAACATTAAAATGGTGAATACACTAATATAACCATGTTATGAAATAGAAACCTTTTTCATCTGTTAATAGAATTTACTTCTTTAAAAATAATAAAACTATAACTATAAGCATAATGTAGTAAATAACCAATTGGGGAAAATATATTTATGCATCTGTACAAGAACAATTAGCAAATTTTAAACTAAGGATCTGTTTAAGATCACCACAATTAAGGAAAATACAAAGTGTGACCTCACTTGAGTAGCTTTATGTTTTTGTTGTGTGCTGTCTTTTAATTCTACCTACTGAGCATGTTCCTCAATGGTGGCTGATAAACATCTTATCTAAGAGGACAGAACTGTAATAGAACTTTTCTGGGTGCAAATCATAAAAGTAAATGAAACCTAGTGTGTGCAATTTGAAGTTTATTGCCGACCAGGGCTCCGGCAGCCGAAGACCTCCAGGACCAGCCACCACCATGCTGAGACCACTCTCCACACACATGAAGGTACTGGCAGAGGGACAAAGCCACGCGGGTTCCGGGGCCGAGATCTCCCAGCCTACTCGGATTGGAGTTGAGCATCCTCCACTCAGATCCTCCAAATTCCAGTAGGCGGGGGTCACACCCACCACCTGGCCCCCTGGCACCGTGTAATCCCATCAACGGCCAAGACTCAGAGACTATAAAGTCCAGCTCCTGGAACCGCGCGGCGCAACATCTTATCAGGACATCTTTTTATGACATCTTATTATCTCATTCCTACTTTGGACAAACTTGCAGGCTATCGAATGTAGCCTGCCCACAGGGCAGAGTCTGGCAAACTCCCCATGGCGTACCAAATATGCCAAATACCAGTAACTATGATGGGTCTCATTCTCCTAAAGAGCTTTGAATATAATCTCAGGGCTAGGATGAAAGAGACGTTACTGGGGCCTGCTCGAGGCAATCAAATAACAGGATGCCTCACAGTAGCAGAAGAAATGTAGGAGTAATTCTTAGAACAAAGTGATGACTTTCAGGAAGCAGGCCCTTTGTGCATGGTTTCTCTGCCCACCTTTCATCTCTTTCAACATTGTTCTCCTGCACTGAAGACATACTTCCTCCCAGGTGGCAGGAAGACTAGCTGCCAGCTGCACCAACTTAATGTCTTCCTGGCAGCATACATATATAAATCCTGGGGGGAAAATATAACTTACTGAATGTTCTCACCTCTGAATTAAATATAATGTTCAAAAGAGTGGATTCAATCATCAATTGCGTCAGGGAGAAAGGGTAACTATTACAGAACGGAGAATAGGAGAAAATATTCAGTACAGCCATAATCATAGTACCATGATCCACAAGAACCAGGAATATTGCTGGAAAGAAAGTACAGGAGTCAAAGTGCTTGCCTTGCACGTGGTTGCCCCTGGTTTGAATTCTGGCACCACATATTGTCCAAAGCACTAGCAGAGATCCTCCTGAGCCCAGAGCCAGGAATATCCCCTGAGCACCAATGGGTATGGCCCAAATCGAAACAAAACCCCCCAAAAGCAATAAGTGACCACCACTTTTTTAGTATTTAAAAATTCTATATTTAATATCTAAGCTCTGTATTTTTTCTCTTTTATTTTTAATTTCCATAAGGTGAAATAAATACAATGCAATTTTTTTTTTTACCTTTTTGGGTCACACCCAACAATGCTCATGGGTTACTCCTTGCATTGCACTCAGGACTTACTCCTGGCAGTGCTCAGGGAACCATATGGGATGCCAGGGGTCAAACCTGGGTCGGCCGCGTGCAAGGCAAATGCCCTACCCACTGTGCTATCGCTCTGGCCCCTACAATGCGATTTTGACTTCAGTCCCTGAGATTGGGGAGGACAGAGATTCACATGAATATTAACTAACTAAGAGGAAGAACGGGAAAGATCATACAGAGGTTAAAAGAAGAGGTAGAGAGAAAATATAGAGGTTAAAGGAAGGGCTAGGCAGGTAATACAGAGGTTAAGGTGCTTGCTTTGAGCTTAGTGGATTCTGATTCAATCTCAGGCACCACAGGATAGATCCCTGAGCATAGAGCCACGTATAAACCCTGAGCACCTTTGGGTGTGGATCCCAAAACAAGGCGTCTTGATTTGTAATGTTTCCTCTTCAACACTCAATAATATGTTAAAGAGGAAACATTACACAAACTTTGTGTAACATTCTTGCTTTGGATGATAGTTTGGTATTAATCTTACTTTATTTGCTTTAATTTAGATAGTTACAACACTTTCAAAGCTTATGGTGTGAATGTACAAATTTACTATGCACCACCACCACCTAACTGTCCACAACTTTCCATGGCATTAGTTTTAAACTTTATTTCACTTGTCATGTTTAACTTTGTAACACTTATTCTTTTTTAATTTTATTTTAATGAATCACCGTGAGATATAGTTACAGACAACTTTGTAATACTTAAAATAAACCGAACAGTGGTATTAATGATTAAGGATCCCAAAACAAGAGTGTTTACAATGTGTGTATCATAAATAACTGGTAAACATAAGCTTTAGATAGTAGAAATTTGAAAAGATGCTCAAGAACTAGAACTAGAACTGTGATGGAGAAACAAGACACCTCTTAAGTAAAGCTGTGTAAAGGTTATGTCAAACATGGTCATCACTGTATTTCTTAGAACATGAGACTCATTACTTCTTTCAATGACTCATCAAGTGATTTTTGAGCCCCACTTTTCAATGGTAGATCTTCAGCTAGATCAGAATGAGACTATGGTAAACAAAACTCTGTATCAAGCTGGGCAGTGCTAAAAGGGCTAGAGAGCAGGACCCCAGATTTGATCTCCAGCACAATCTGATCTCTCAGAATGGTCAGGTGTGGCCCCAAAACAAAACAAAACATATAGACCAAACATGATTGCCACTCAATGCCTCTTTTGCAAACCACAACACCCAAAAGGAGAGAGAGAACAAAAGGGAATGGCCTGCCACAGAGACAGACTGGGATGGGGGGGATGGGGGGGTGGGAGGGATACTGGGATCTGTGGTGGTGGGAAATGGGCACTGGTGGAGGGATGGGTATTTGATCATTGTATAATTGAAACCCAAGCACAAAAATTTGTAAGTCTACAACTGTACCTCATGATGTCTCACTAATAAAAATAAATAAATAAAACAGATATGTGGTGTCTATTTATTTATTTAGATATCATATAAATTTAGATATCATATAAATAAATACTATTTATTTATTTAGATATCATGATCCAGCTAGAAAGAATAATCTAATTGACAAGAGTCTAATAGATCAGCTAACATGCTCTATCAGCTGAGTGTAATAAAGGCTAAGAAAGTGTCCAAACCCATTAAAAATTAGCAAAGAAATGTTTGAAATTGTTATGTTGCTGTAGACTACCATAGTTCTTCAGTGTAAGTGCCCCTGCCAGAATAGCAAATGCCTTTATAAAATTTGGGTATCTTAGAAATAGTTACTTGAGGGTGTGAAGTTTCAGCAATCTGAAACTTCATCAATGAGCTTACTTAGCCTTTCAAAGGAGTAATGAACAGACTTATTTTGGCACAAACTTAAACATCACAATCTCTCAGAGTTGGATTGGAGTGACAGCACAGTAAGTAGGGCATTTGCCTTGTACATGGCCGACCCAGGTTCAATCCCCCACATCCATAATGTCCTCTGAACCCTCCAGGACTGACCCCTGAACACAGAACTAGGAGTAAGCCCTGAGCATCACTGGGTGTGACCCTCCCTCCAAAAAAAGGGGAAAAAGGAGTCATAAGCATGATTTTGTTCATGGCAAGTCTTCATTTTTTTCCTATATAAAATGAAAATATCTAATGACATAATCTCAAAATTAAAAGCATCCATTTTAAGCTCTTGGTCAATGTGAAATACTTGATATCTTGCCAGCCTCCTTTAAAAAACATACTGAGTATAGCAAAAATGAAACACAGCAAGTCAAAATGATAGGGAAAAAATTCATTAAATGGCAGCACCTATTGAAAATCACAGCAATGGTGCTCATTTTCTCTCTGGAACATTTTTATAAGAATTTGATGGGGGCCAGTAAGATAGTACAGTAGGTAGGACACTTGTCTTGCACACAGCAGATCCAGGTTTGATCTCCAGCATAGTCCCCCAAGCACCATCAAGAATGATCCGTGAGTGCAGAACCAGGACTTGGACCTGAGCACCACCAAGCCCAAAAACAAAAACAGAAAAAAGGACTGAATATTCATCCCTTCAACACTGAACCCAGTAATAATACATACGAGCCCATATGAACTTCATCTAAGCCTCCTATTTGCTTTTGTCTACATTTTGCTGTCAGAAAAGAACATAATTCTTTTCTGACAAAAAATCACAGGGAACATTTTTCTCTACTTTATTTTATTGATGTTGTTTCTTTGTTTGTTTGTTTCACTTTTTTGTGTGTGGTGCTAAGAAAAGAACCCAGAACCACACATGCATTGCACACATTCTATTGCTGATCCACATACTGTGCCCACTATTTTGTTTAAAGTTGTACTTGGAGCAAAACAATAGTTCAGTGGGCTAACCCAATGCTTTGCTTGCAGGAAGCTGGGGTTGGATGATTCTTCAGTGCCATCTGATCCTCCAAACACAGCTAGGAAGGACCCCTAAACACCAAACTGGGAGTAACCCTTGAACACCACCAATTATGCCTCCAA